AGGACTCCTCCTGGCGCGCCTCCTCTTGGCCGCCCCCCCTTTGAGCCTTTATATACGGAGGCAGGGGCACCCCCTAGAGACACAAGTTGATCCACATGATCATATTCTTAGCCGTGTGCGGTGCCCCTTTCCACCATAGTCCTCGATAATATTGTAGCGGTGCTTAGGCGAAGCCCTGCGACAATAGTACATCAAGATCGTCACCACGCCGTCGTGCTGACGGAACTCTTCCCCGACACTTTGCTGGATCGGAGTCCGGGGATCGTCATCGAGCTGAACGTGTGTTAGAATTCGGAGGTGCTGTAGTTTCGGTGCTTGATCGGTCGGGCCGTGAAGACGTACGACTACATCAACCAAGTTAACGCTTCCATTGTCGATCTACAAGGGTACGTAGATCACACTCTCCCCTCTCGTTGCTATGCATCACCATGATCTTGCGTGTGCGTAGGAAATTTTTTAAAATTACCACGTTCCCCAACAGTGGGCCCGCATCAAAATTGGCAAGATCATTTATGACTTAGTTTGGAGCGGTGACGATCGAAAATCCTAGACCTACGGAGAACATGCTAATCTCCCACCACCTCCTGATAGAGTGGGGCCATCTGATTTTTAATCAACAGTTCCCATGTCATAAGTGTAGCAAAGCTCGGTGACAATAGTAAGACGGTTAGAGGCGGACACTCGTTTGTGAATAAGAAAATGGTCAAATTTTGATTATTTCAAGTTCGGCCTCCACGAAGGCCGAGCTCCATTGAGCATTTTCGATCCGTTAGACTTAGTAAATTATAAAGGATCCCGGAATGGTTTTCAGAAAAGAGTAGCGCGAGGCACGCACATAATGCATGCATACTTCATCGGTCTAGGAAGTATCTGTATGAATTCCTCAAGCAAACTGCAGCCTTGAGCGAGGTGGATTCATGTCCCGTTGGAGCCACCCGCGTTGATCTCGTTCTCACCGGTTCCTCCGTACCGCGCCATACCTCCCAGCAACCTGCAATGCATGACGACATGCCACCAAATCAGCTGACCGCCAAGTTAAACTAACCCTGAAAGAAAACAACCAGAGCATGCACAAGAATCACATGCACATGAGGTCGCACACAGAGGCCGGGGAGGAAGGGCATGGCTCACGATCGCACGCACATGAGGCGATGGTCGTACTTTCTTGGTCCCGCGGTCGTCCAATTCCTCCTTCACCGCAGGCGCGCAGAACGAAGCCAGGTCCGTCTTCCTCCCCCGGGTCGAGGAAGAAGGTGAAGACGCAGAGCCCCCGGCCGTAGCAGAAGGGGCCGGCCGCTTCCCCGGCCTTGCCATCTTCTCATGATGGCACTCTCCATCCTTGCGCACGGAGGAACAGAAGCAGTCCATCAGCTGAACTCAGCATGCCATTTTGGCGGCAGCAGCGCCGGAATTCTATTGCCTGGCCGCCATGGATGGAAGAAGAAGGGAGACGTACCGATGTTTCAATGAGCTCATTCGAGTCGTCGCCGATATCTTGGTCCGGATCCGGATCCGAGGAGCATTTCAGCTCCTCCAATGTGCTGGTTGCGAGGCTCTGGACGCTTGCTGCCGTCTGGGTTCTTCCCTTCTCTCGTGCCTGTACATTAAGAGAACAAAAATGACACTATGAAAACATAAGGGCACAACCATTTTCTCTGATTTCTTGTCAGATTAAATCCTAGTATCAAGTATTAAGTGACAATGGGAACCACACCTGCATGAACTGACCCAAACCGTGTACTAACATTGCATCTTCATCTTCGATGTCAGTATCCACCTTGGTGCTGGTCAACTTGTTCTGCGAATTCAAGCGGAGAAATTTCTTTTCAGTTCTCAATTGGTAGAGTGGAGCCTAATATATTGGTAGTTTTGCCTACTATTGCCTCTTCGGTGTTCTTCTGCAGGCAAGAGTGAAATGCCATATTGTCTTCCTTGTTGACGAAAACATGAAGGGCGGTGTCCAGATCATCTAGTGGAAGAACCTGCATATTCTGTAAAGAAAATATTAATGTGGCAATATTTTTTTTTCATACAGTATATACATTTATTGTCATAGATATTATTATATTTTTCTACAGACTTGATAAAATTGGCTTGGAGCAAAGGTAGAACTTCAATGCAATTAATTTGTAATGGAGGAAGTACCAAGTTAATTTCTGCCACCAGAGCTTCGACCGTGTGTTGATTAAGCTCATTTGGGTAGAGTTCTCCGAAACCGCCAGTGTTGTCTGCAGGATAGCAAGATGCATTTCTCAGATAAAGTCCCATCTCTGCTTTTGTAATTCATTGAAATTTATTCTAAATATGTCACATTTCCTTATCATTACAAATTGATTCAAGTTTAGTTTTGCTGACCTTGCGGATTTTGGCGCCTTTTTGCTGACCTTGAGAAAACAATCATGTCTTGTGGGTTGGCAACCTACAAGGAAAGGTTGTAAACAGAGTAATAAACTACCCAAGTAGTACTAACAAGGGGGATCATGGTTCTTGAGGTACCTTCCCAACATACTTCTGACCAAACCGCTGTGGGTGTATTGTTAAGAACCCAGAGTAGTCGACCTGCAGAACAAGATGAAGTCTTTCATTTGACAATCATGGAAAGAAAATGGGACATAACTACTATCAAAAGTGACCTGATTTCTTTACCTTTAACCTAACAAGTGGAAGTTTGGGCTCTGATCCACTGCCTGCTGCCGTGTCATTCTTCTCAATAAGATTGGCCACCTAAAGCAGCTCAGTCAGTAGCCGGTAGGAGTAATCAGAGAGCAAAAATTACAAATATCAGACAACTGAAACTCCACGCCAACCAGCTCAGTCGACCAATGTTTGGCCATGTTTTTCGGAAAAAAACTGGACAAAGTTTTTAGCACAGCTTATGGAGTTTAAGACCTACTACTTTATTCAAATGTGCATCCACGGACGCTTCATCATTGGCGTCGACGCCTTCTTGGTCTTCTAACACAACCTGAATTGCATTCTTATGATGGGATTGTCACTGAACTAAACATGAAAACAAGGAGTGGCTTACCTCGGCATATTCGAAAGGTCTAACAGTCTTCAGAGGTATATTAGTTGGCCTGTATTTCATTCCCTATCGAGTCGAACATAGGAAAAGTTGATGGTTAGGACAGAAAGTTGCAGAAGTTTTTATCTTCATTAAGTCCGTGATTTTCAAAACATATTTACGTTTATTTCCAACAAAAGCACATGCTTTTCTTTTGCTTCAGCGCTGGTCAGAGATGTGGCAATTGAAGATCCTGGCTGCGTGATGTGGAAACCCATTCCAGGAACCTCCTACAAGAAGTTTATCAGAATTAGTTAAATGGAGAACGATTGACAGAATGGAGAACATTACCTTGGGATCAGCAAGGCATTCATGCTCATGGCCCCATATTACTAAATCCAGAAAGTTCGGTAACAGATGTTCATTGATGCCGTTGTCGAGACTTCCCTTTATCCTGCAGTAGCACATAATAGTATCAATAGTTCAAAAACCGGTTAAATAAACAACTGTGACCGATCGGTTCAATCGCTTTTGTGTACCTGTTTTGATGAAGAACCAGAATGTTGAACCAGTCGGACAGTGGCATATCCTCTGTACTCTCATGTTTCATCCAATCTATTGCACCTGGTGTCTGAATAAGACATAAGATGCAATATATTCAGCATCAACAAGTCAACCAACCACCCCGGCTGCGACAATTGACCATCTTATACACTGAAATATACCTGAAACATTCTGCTCAATCTTGCATCCCTAACGTTCCCCAAGCCATATAGTGCAACAGAAGTTGCACCCTGAAGTAGCACAGTTAAGTTCCAGAGCCAGTTAGCAACATGTACTTTGGCATCGTACAGACTACAGAGTGCCTTACTCACTCCTACGGACTTCTTCCAGGTCATCTTCAGAGCTACGGCATGGATCCATACGTGGTCCTTACTCACTCCTACGGACTCCAGGCAGCCTTTGGTTACTGGGTGCAACCAGTGGGAACTGGTAGCACGGGCTATATTCAACCGGTTTGGATGGCGGTCTCATAATAGGATAGACGTCTAGTGTTCTAGTCCTATTATCCTACCGGTTGTGCCAATGAGTTCTCTTTTTTATTTCTGCTCCGTTTGCGAGCTGTAATGGAACTGAGACTATGTTTTTATTTGAACTTAATAATATGTCTGCATGCATCTTTCAGATGCAGAGGCCGGGGACGAGCCTCCTTTTCCAAAAAAAGAAAATACTACAGAGTGCAAAGTAGTAAATTGACCTTTTTGACAAGGATAGGATGAATTGACATGTGACCGATGCCAGAACTTCCGATATCCACCTTTCCAAAGTAATTCACGAACCCGGCAGCCGCAAGGACATCGATGGCGGACATATTATCCTGTGGTACGCACGTGATGGAGAACAAGGTGAAACTTTTAGATGTTCAATAAAATGAATCCAAATTTAACTTTGTCCATTTTATTGAACACCGGATATAACTCCTGAACAAATATAAATTCCATATGTAACTCCGGGTATGCACACATACCACTCCTGTAGGATCATCATGGTCGCCATGGATGGTGAACACAGGCAAGCCGACGTTGATGTTCTGGTCCTCAAAATTCGGTCGACCAAACCTGAAGCATGTATGCAAACCTCAAACCAATGAGAGAAAGAATATAGGCTGTCCAGAGTTCAGCCATCGATTATAGGTGACTAGTAGGTAACTGCTGCTAGCTAATTGGTGTAAGCAAGTACGTACAAGTTCTGCAGGCTGGCTGCGTGATCACTGACCACCTGGAACTGCACCGGCCGGTCGTGGAGGCAGCGCCGCCTCAGGATCTCGATCGTCCTCACCAGCGTCGAGCGTGACGGCTTGTTCTCGTGGAACAGATCGCCGCCGAGGAGCAGGAAATCCACCTGCCAATTAATCATCGTCGAACACGCTTATGTATGTACTTAGAATTGTAGACATGCAAGGACAGGAAGATCAATAGGTAGCAGTAGTTGACATTGTGTTTCTCTGCCAGTGAGAAGATCTCCTCGAAGGTGTCGAACGAGTCGGACCGGTGCAGCTCGTCCTTCTCTAGGTAGCCGAGGTGGCAATCGGTCGCCACCAGTATCCGCAGCGTGCTGCTTCCTCCAGCTTCTCCTGCTGCCTTCCTGAAGAAGAACACCCCATGCATGCAACAGCTAACTGCGTTTTAGTACAACAGTTTTGCCAAGTATTTGTTGCAGGTGGAATATTTTGGGATGTAAGTATATAGCAGGTGTACAGCTGCCAATGCATATGCGTTTAGGGTCTGTTTGGGAAGAAAACGATGTTTCTTTGTCAGATTAATTTTTTCTTTAGGCAAAATTTATCTTAGTATGAGTCAAACTTTATAAACTTTGATTAAGTTTATGGAAACATTTATATGGTCAACATCTACAATATACTATATCAATAGACAATATATACATGATTATTATGCCTTTGCCACCCGGGGACATTGTCACCCATCTGTCTTCCATCTGATCTCGCTTTGAGATCCGTGTAGCATCTTCTAGGTCTGCCAATTGGCTATACGTATAAGCTATATGTATACATATAATCTATTCTACACTCACGCTTAGAATAGCGTTACCCTATATAGTATTGTAAATGTTTATAATTTTTTAATAAACTTGATCAAAATTTACAAACTTATTTCCCGTCATATATATTTGGTATTATACATGTTCATTTTCCTTCCAATAAACTTTTTTTGCAGGGTTCTTCCTATGAACTTGGTTTAGGAAAAATCTAATATGCACTATATTTTGATATGGAGAGAGTACTTGATTAATACCCTTGAGATGAGTACTAGCAACAAAACAAAGGAAACTCTCATTCTAGTTACTAGTTGCCTTGCAAACTTTCGCAAAATGGAAGCTTGCCTAGGATTTCTGCCTTAGACAAAATAATTTAAGATTTTAGACCCATGGATGAACAATCCATGAACCCGGGGCTTATCCAATGTCTAATTAAGCTTTATTGATTGAGTCAGAAGAAAGTCTCAATGACGGATATTAGCAATCCAAAGGAAAATAATCATATAAACCGACAAGCATATAAAAATTTATATCAAGATAAAACAAGGGACAACAAAATTTACATGAAAAAATGTTGCTACCATAGGCACACAACAACGATCTCACTATATCGAGACAAGTATTTCAAACACAAAGGGTTTAAAATGAGTCATCAACTCATGTTGAGATGACCCCAGTATATCGAGACAAGAGGCGAAAACATAATCCGACCTCTGGCCTTACAGAAACTCGGACTGTATCCAATAATAATGCTCTGTCATCCTCTCCCGCTGACATGAGTAAAACGGATAAAATGGCATCCTGCCACTAGATTAAGAATCGATGCACAGTGCCATCTCTTTATCATCTGATTTTTTTAGGGGATAATTAAAATTTTCAATGATGTAATTGTAGCTTATAATTTAAAACAAAA